CCCCCCCGGAGTGGCTGGGACACGGGCAGTTTGGCTGTGGCCAAGTCCATCAGATTATTACATCTGTCAGCCCCGCCCAGCCGCAGCACCGCACCCTGGGCCCGATCCAGCAGTCAGAGCCCCCCTGCGCTCTTGTCCAGCCCTAATTTCATTTGGTGACCCCCTAGTTCTTATATTGTGGGAATAAGTAAATAACTTTACTTATTCACTTTTTCCACACCAGTCATGATTTTATAGACCTCTATCATATCCCCCCACCCCCTTAGTCTCTTCTTTTCTAGGCTGGAAAGGGTCCTGTCTTCTGATAATGGCCAGTGCCACATGCCCCAGAGGGAGTGAACAGAACAGGGAATCCTTAAGTGAGCCCTCTCCTGTCCTCCATTTCCAGCCCCTGACAAACAGAAGCGAGGGACACCATTCCTACCCATCCTGGCTAATAAGTATTGATGGACCTAACCTCCGTGAATTTATCTAGTTCTTTTTTTGAACTCTGTTAAAATCTGGTCTTCACAACATCCTCTGGCAAGGAGTTCCCAAGGTTAACTGTGCGCTGCCTGAAGAAAAACTTCCTGTGGTTTGTTTTAAACCTGCTCCCTATTCATTTCGTTCAGTGTCCCCTAGTTCCTGTGTTATGGGAACAAGTAAATGATTCTTCTTTATTTACTTTCTCTGCCAGCAGTTAATGCGGACTAAGGACGTTCCAGCCCCGTCAGCATTCCCAAGGAATCGCTGGGAAATAGAGTGAGCCCTGGCCCCAGCAGAGCAAAGGGAGACTGCTGGAAGGCCAGTATTGCTGAAGTACCCATGGCTGTGTGTGTTCAGGGGAAGGGATGCAAGACGGCTGTACACAAAGGCCCTGGATCACCAGCGAATGCAAAGCAAAGGGAAGGGGGCAGAAATCTTTCTGCACAACACAGGGAACCTTTCCCGTGCTTAGGCAAGGAGCCGATGGGCGTCAGTGGGACTGTGCATGTGCCGGCGGGTACAGGTGGAACCAGGACTCTCTGGTTTGGCAACATCCTGCCAGACCAGAGACATTCCTGGCCCAGAGTCCCGGAGGAGGAGTGGTGGCAGGGAGCGCAGCCCGGGGCCGGCAGCGTGGCTGGGCCGGTGGCTGGAGGGATCAGTGGCCAAGCTAGAAGTGGAGCTGGGCTAGGGGGCATGTAGTAGGAGGCCAGAATTGACCTCCCATGATCTGGCCAACTCCTTTGTTTGGGACCAGTCAGGTGCCCAGGGCGCTGGACCAGGGAGGGCCAGGCTGTACATGAGCTTATCCATCAGCTGTTCCAGCTCCTAGGGGCGCTACTTTAAACGCGAAGAGTAAAGAGGAGCATACGAGCCTGGGATAGGTCATTAATCTGCCTGGGTTTATATGTTGACAGAGCAGCGGGGGAGGCCGGCCAAGTGTGAACACAAAGCCGAAGGAGGAAATGAACTAAACAAAGGACTCAGCTCCTTTATGAGATAACCGGGACGGAGCCTTTTGTGTGCACACGGATATCTGTGTCCGTGTCGAGCGGGGCTTCTGTGTGCGGAACCGCACGAGCTTCCTCATTCTTGTGGGTTGTTCGGACTCACTGCGGCTGATTTAACAGGCACTAGACTGGCAGCAGGGTGCTCACAGGAGATGGGTGTAGTGACTCACCGTGGGGCTGGGCTGTACCATGCACCCTGCCCCGTGGATCGCTGGGCTTGCAAGTCCTTGTTAGAAACCCGTCCCATCCTCCCTCTGACAGCGCCTCACTTGGGACGTGGCTTTCAGAGACAGAAGACACCTGTGGGGCCTTTTCCTTGGTATGTACATTTGAATTCAGCCTGCAGAGGAGCTCCGGCGCCCTCGTGGTGCTGGAAAATGCTGGGAAAGAGGATTTAAATAGAATTAAAATACCTGATTTTTGTTCTTTGCTTTGGTTACCCCTGGAGATCTCTTTTACAATTAAATCTGACTCAAGCTGGCTCGCAAGGGAGGTTTCAGGGAAATAAAACGCAGCGAGTCCCAGCGTTCACTTCTCACCCCGTCTTCCTCTAACAAGGGGGAGTCGAGAGAGAAATCGGAGGGTACATTTCACAGGCAGTAATTTGGGGGGCTTTCTACTCCTCTCTCTGATGTTACCCAAAACTTTTCCAGCAAGACGCAGGGGGCAGCCATGTGAGTCTGTCACTTTACAAACAACAAGGGGTCCCATGCCACCTTAGAGGCTAACGCAAATCTAGAGTGTTCACAGCTCCCCTAGGATTTAGTGTCAAGCAGCTTCCAGCCCATCTGAGGAAGCGGGCTGTACCCACGGAAGCTCGGGATCCTACGGATAGTTTTTTGTTAGTCTCTAAGGCGCCGCAGGACTCCTCGCTGTTTTCCCAGCAAGGGTTCCTTGTCCTGCGTTGTTTGTGGCAAAAGTTGGCTTGAAAGCCCTGAGCCGTTTCTGTTACTGCATGTCCATTGACTGACTGGAGACAGAACCGGCTGTCTGCTGTGTGCTCTGATCGTTTGCTGATCAGAGTATAGTGAGAAGTACTTCCGAAAGACACAGGGTTTGTCCCCATGCCAGATGCTGTGGCTAATTAAAATGCTGTGTCCGTGGCTAGTCGAAGAGCACGTCCTTATTGCTAGCTATTGACTGGTGGTTTGTCGGTAGCACCTGAAGAGTTCGTTCTGGATCAGGCCCATGGTACACACGTGCTGCACACGTGTGTAGGAGAGACCTGACGATTTCAGCACATGACAAGGAGACCGGCAAAGAGAAACAACCAGCTGGCGGAGTCCAAGAAGACAAGGTACCTGTGTAATGTTAATCAGGAACCACAGTGATGAGCGCTGCACTGTTTTACAAGAGCAGTTGCTTAATATTCTTGTTCAAACACCGCAGCGCGGAGGCCGACGGGAGCTGTAACTACAGAAAACAGAAAAGCGGCAGATCTGTGAGCCCAGATGCTAGTGCTCTCCGACTCCAGTGCTGGGGGAGGGGGCTTGGGCCTTAGGCGGACACAGGCTTTAGTTCTTCTCTAGCTGATCTGAAATCCTGCCCAGCACACGCAGCTCGCAATGGGGATGCTATTAAAAACCAAGCCTGCAACCATCTGGCGTGGCTTGGTTCTCCTTTGCACCGGTGGGTGCAGGTTTGCAGGAACATCTGGGGGACGGTTCCAGCTGCTTGCTGCTGAGAGCCAGGTTTGGCCCTGCGGAGAGTTAGGGCTGTTTGTGCCATTGGCTCTGGGCCCTGGGCGGAGCAAAGGAGACAGGCCCCACCTACGCGGCCCAGGGCAGCAGGGACTGTGGAAAAGACGTGGGGGGTGTCAGCTGGCCGAGAGCTCCCAGTGCAATGCAGGGGCCAGAAGAGTTCACGTGGTCCCCGAATGTTTTGCCCCAGGAATCTGGAGTCCGCGCAGAGCCGTTTTTGCCCCGCAGTATTTGGCACTAGGGCGGCCCCTGCTGGAATCTGGGCTCCAGTTCCCGTGTCCGCGGCTCCCGAGGGATGCTGACAAATTGGAGAGGGTCAGCGAAGAGGAGCCGGGAGGGGAGCACAAAAGGAGCTGCTGGCCGGGGCCTGGTGATTTGAAAGGCCGCTGGACCCGGGCGGCATGGGCCAGACAGCGCTCAGGGCAATGGCAGTGGAGGGGCTGGACAGTAAACGTGGCGCCCCAGGTGTGAGAGCCACCTGCACTCTGCTGGCACCGTGGCTCAGACCCCTTCATCTCTCTGCTTCCCTCCTCCTGTGCTCGCGGGGGTCAATGCTCCTTCCTGTTTGCTTTCTGCGCCTGCAGAAGGGGGTGGCTCGGCTGGGAAATTGCAGTCGAACAGGTTCTTCCTGCCCGCCCGCCTCTTGTGTTTTCACCCAGCCTGACACACACAGGGCACATCCTGGAGGGTGGGCCCGGGTGCACTAGGAACCCTGCTGCTGCCAGACTGGCTCCGAGCCAAGGCCCGCCTGGGCAGGTTGCAAGGCCCGGGAAAGG